CTTTTTCGAGCTTCTTCGTTCCACAGCTTTTTCGAGTTCTCCCAAACTTTCACGAGTCTTTCTATTAGACAGTTAGATTATGAGCTCGAGATTTCTATTTAAACAATGGAGTGTTTCTGTCGAGGAACTATCGGCTGATAGTTGCCCCGCGGAAATTTAATGTTCTTAAAACAAATATGTTAGTTTTAATGAGAACATCAAATTTCCAAGGGTCAACTATCAGCCGATAGCTCCTCGACAGAAACACTCTATTGCCTTTATTGTTCACCACTAAATTTTCTTCCGCGCGCCAGTTCAAAAATCATATTGAATTATTTTCAAAATGTAAAATTCGAAAAAGAAAACAAACAAAAACCCACTTAATACAATTTTACTCGTTAATTTTTTATAAGCCCGCTTGTTTACAGAAAAAATTTTTCACGGACGAGTACTATCCATCCGGGTATTTCCTTCAGACGGACACTATGGGCTAATAGTGTCTCACTATTGATAAACACTATTCCGTCACGTGATCACTTTAAACCAGTAAGAATCGGAGAAACTTTAGTGATGAATTATCACGCATGAAAATCGAGAGCGAATATTTAATTGTTTCAGTATATCCGACTTTATCTAAATCCTCTTCACACACTTCGATATCGTGGTTCAGTTCTAAAATGTTAAGCCAGGCCATGACTTACAAGAGGACTTGATTGCACGCGTGTAAGCCATATATGGTGATTCAATACAGTCAGTTACTCGTGTGTTATAAAATAAGTACGCTAGAGGGGAGTAAATGGGGGTAGGCAAAACCGCCCATCCGTGCTAGTGTCAAAGCACTACGAAGCACTACAAAGCGTTACTTTGTGTTGCAGCGAAATGCAAATGTTTTTGTGTTGATTTTACCATGAATGCTCTAATGCATAACAGGTAAATGTAATTTGAAATTTGCTAAATGTTTCGTGAAGAAAAATGACATTTAAACCATTTTTAATAAAAAAGACCTAAACATAGAGGACACCAAAATGTCCGGCGACTTCGGCTGTGTGATGGATCAACGCGAACTGGTAGGCAAGGCCAAAATTCGAAACTGATCCGCAAATCCTTAAAATTTATCACAAAATTTCGCAATCCTTTGGCTTTTCAAGGGCAAATCCGTCGATCCGTGAATCTATTCACTCACCCACCCCCTTCCTTTAGGGTCCTTCCACGACCCTTGCACATTTGCAAGGGTCGTGGAAAATGCTTATTTGCTTCTCTAGTACCCAAGAGCATTTACGAGTAGCGAACTAGAAAGTTGCCGCTAGAAACGTTTCAACAAATGAGCAGCAATCATTCAAAGTATCTCCATGAAGTGATCCCATTTTTACTAGATTCTAAATGATCATTAAGAGCTTTGCCTATCTACTTATAATTAGT